AATATGTTATCTATTGTTGCTGAGCAAACTACCTCAAAACTTAGCAGCTTAAGACAACAAACACTTATTATCTCACGGCCTTCTGGTAATAAATTCAAGGGTGGTTTAGCTGGGTTCTTTTGGCTCCGAGTCTCCATGAAGTTTCAGCTGGAGCTGAAGCCATGTGAAGGACTGACTAGGGCTGGAGAATCTACCTTCCAGGTGCCTCGCACACATGGCTGTCGGCAGGAGGTTTCAGTTCTCGCCATGTGGGTCTCTCCCTTGGACTGCTTCAGTGTCCTTTCAACATGGTAGCTGGCTTCTTCCACAGTGAGTAATCCAAGAGGGAGAATGAGGAAGAAACCAAAATGCTCTTTACAACCTAGTCTTAAAAGTTGATTACCATCACTTCTACCACATTCTACTTACTAGAGTCACTAGCACAGCCCACCCTTAAAGGGAAGATAATCTGATGTGGGACTTTGGAGAGAGGAATATCAACTTGGGGATAAAATTTAGCACTACCACAGACATTTAAGCTGCTCCTCATTTCTCACTACTTGTTTTCCTGTTAGAAGCGATGATCAAATGAACACCTGTACATACATATCTTTGTTCATTTGTATGAGTGTATCATTAAAATAAATTCCTAGCAGTGGGAATTGCTGGATCAAAGCAAATATTTATCTTAAATTTTTGAAAGCTGTTACAAATTGTCTTCTAAAAAGCCAGTACTGATTTATACTTTCACCAACAGTGTATGAGTGCTGAGTTTCCTATACCTTCTCCAACACTGGTATTATCAAAGTTTTAAATGTTGGAAGTCTAATAATGAAAAATGATGTATCATTGTTTTGCCTCTTTTCATATTCTTTAAGTCACTATATTGTTGGATCTCTTTGTTACAGCACCATAGTCTTTCCCCTTACGAATACACATGGGACTTTATGATGTTATATTCCACAGAAAAAAAGGGTTCTGTGGTCAAATAACTCTAGGAAACCACGAGTTTAACGAAAGCATTGAGACTTCCTTCCTAAAAGAGTTCTCAGATCCTTTAATCTATTAATTGGGATCAAGCAAGAGATGAGTAGAATATATAGTATTTTTAAAAATGTATTTATTTTTAGATAATTCTTTTCCACTGTGGGATTAACTCATTGAACTCTTCCACTCCTCAGCCTATTCTGCAAAATATACTCTGGGAAATGCTGGTTTAAGGACCTCTAACTTTTCTAATCATTTCATGGTCATGGCTGATGTTTAGCGTGACTCACGCTTCCACCGGACTTCACAGATCCTGGGCCAGGGCACTTACACCTGGAGCTACAGCTTTCCCACTCCTCAGCCATGTGTTGAAATGAGTCCCTCTGGTGGACAGCAGGCAACATAATGACTTCTAGTTAAAGAAGGCTGTAGGATTTTATTTGATGGTTTTGGATTCTTTTCCATTTATCCAAGTGGAAAGATGATACAAATTTCACTCATAGAAGTCATCCTCTATTTTCCACTTGTTTTTAAGACATCTAAAAGATTCACAACTATTTCCCGAGGGAGCAGTGCATCCAGGCTCTGAGGCAGGGGATGCAGTGACTACCAGGGACCTACTATGTATCTGGCATGGCTATAGGAGAATTATTCCACTGTCCTTATAGACCCCTCAGTCCACCATGAGCTCAGTGGGAGCCTGACTGCTCCAGCCCAGCAGAGGGGTTTTCTCTCAGAGGGCACCTGTAGGCAGAGCAGCAGTGTGGGGCCTGGGTAAGGATGCCAGAGTGGAAGGTCAGACCATCCTGGAGACCTGGGGGCACCATTGCGGGACATCAGCAGTGATGATTGGTACTGAAATGGCTCCTCTGGTGGCCCACCTGTGACAGGAGATTTGTGGAGAAGTTCTTCCTGTGAGGCCTGGGAGGTCTGGGCACTTTGCACTCTGCCAGTAGCATCCAGTGTAGCCATTTTTGTAGATTCAGAACATGACTGAGGTACAAAGGATTGAGAAAGCTTTGGGCTGTTTCTGTGGTGGGCAGCTGGCCAACCACTGGTCAAAGTGTTTAAGACCATCCAAGTGATATGTCTTCTGACTAATTTAATAGTCAGAATCTAGAAGATTTTTCTGTCCAGGTCTAGTTCTTACATATTCTCATTGAGAAATGTATACACAGTAATCGATAAGATAATCAGAGATACCAAAGCAGAGAAGAATCAGCTGGGAAATCTGTATATTAAAGAGTGACTGTAAGAATATGTATTATAAAAAGTGAAAACGTATCATGAGAGATTATGCAGAACTTCCTTTTGATTTTGTAGATTGACTTGGTAGATTAGACATGCTCAATGCTGTTAATGCTTAGAAAAATCCCAATCTGTTGATTCACAAGCTTGGGTTGGATCTAAAACAGGTTCCCATCTTTGAGAAAGGAGTCCACACAACCTTTCAAGGGTTGCTGAATGTAGGTGTGGAATGTTAGAACTGGTTTGCAAAGAACCTGTTCCCACCATGTTGATCTGCAGAATTGCCCTGAGATCCTGCTGTAGGTCTCCTCTGTTCTGTCTCTCCCACACCTGCACTTCACAGCTGGCTGGTCTCAGCCCTCCTCCTTCCTTGCAGATGTTTAAGAAGCAGCAATCAAAAGGTGGAGGAGGGAGGGACTCACCTCCAAGGGTAAGTAGGAAGGAGTGAATGGACAAAGGATAAAGCCAGAAATGAGCTGAAGAATTCCAGACATGGCAAGTCAGAGAGTCTTGTAAACTGGTTGGAGCAGTGAGATCAGGAAGAGCACTGACCGAAGAGGTCGCCTCCTAGTCTCTTGCAGACTGGCTGTGAGGACCAACTGAGGCCAAATCTGTCAAGCACCAGGGCCAGCCCTTAATGTTAGTGTCTTCCTGAACCCTCTGCCAATGCATCCTCCCTGCTGTACATCACTCCTCTGTGCCTACCACAACCAGGATGTCCTTCTTCTTCTTCTCCACCTGGAGAAAATGGTTGTTCAGATGTCACCTCTTCCCTGACTACATCAGGAAGAGTCAGCAGCAGGGTTCCATGCCCCCACAGTATGTTACACTGAGCTGTGATGTCCTGTTTCCACGTCTGTCTCCCCCAACTGGACTGAGGAACCTCTCATTCATCTTCATAATTCCCTGGTCTCTCCTGGTGCCAGCACCTTCCTTAGGATGGGGGTGCACAGGAAATAGGTGTTGAATGAAATGAGAGAATACATAGATACATAAATAAATATTCTTATGGTTGAAATGAAACAATATGGGTTGGAAAATAATGCAGGTAGAAGGAAATAAGATATCCTACAGATTTGGAAAGAACTTTATTTTAATAAATAATAAACAGTGTATCCTACCAATCTGAAACACACTCTACCAGGAAAGATACTTTGTTGTTAGAAAAAGGGGCATGAAAGGTGGCCCCAAAAAATAGCTGAACTTTCTGAAAAATTTCAAAGACTATTCTGCTGAACAATTGTGCCAAGGAGCCCCTCCCTGACGAACTGTCCTAGTCTCTGCCCTTTTTTTGGCCACACAGTCAAAGGGCTTCTTTGTGGACACACTATTTTGGTTTTCTTGAATTCTACAGTGATATTCTTGAGTCTCATGGGAAATCTCCCCAGGTGTTTGCTGACCCATTCCATTCCAGGAATGAATCAGGGACCCAAGCCTCAGCCAGATCCCTCATCCACTGAAAAGTTAAAATCAAATCACCCTAACAATTACCAAACAAACTAAATCCAAAACTGACTCTAAAACTAAACAATTCCAGAGCTCAGGGTGCTCGTTGTCAGCCATGATCTCTCAGCTCCCCACCCACCCTTCTTCCCTTTGCTTCGTGACTGGGGCTTTCATCTCCGCCAGCTGCTCAGTGTGAGGTTCAGCCAACAGGGCAGACCACAAGAGGCTGGAAGAGGGGAGAGGGCTATGCTCCTCCCTGGGTGCGTGGGTTTCTGTCAGCATTCCTCTAGCAATGAGGGTCACAGTGAGTTCCAGTAGCTGCAATTTGTCATTTTCCTAAAACTTCCACAACCAGCCTCATCAGGACCCTTCTTCCAGCACCAGCTGGCAGCACCTCCTCCCTAGGGGGGTAGTTCTACACCCAGTTCTCAGGCCCACATTTTAGCTCCTGGGGGCACCTGGGGACTGCCTCCCCCATAGAGGGCTACCCTCAGCCATGTGGGGCCACCAGCCTCTTTCCTTGTTCCCTCTGCCCTCGGGCTGGTAGCTGCTTCTTACAGTTAAATTATGTCTCATTATCACTTTTTTTTCCCATTAAAATCTCCAATAGCTGGATCATACTTCCTTACATTAAATTCTCTGTTAAAATAATTAGTATAGTGTCTCTCTTTTGACTGGACCCTGACTGACAGATGAAATAATTCTAATACTAAATAATCCTGAAAATAAATAAACCAGAAAATAAAATAAGTAAAAATACAGAATAGAAAAATTTTTTGAATGAGAAAGACATAACTGAAAACAATTAACTGAGAATTCTCAAAATAACTCAAAACTAAATCTCTTAAAAACTCTGAAAATAAAAACTCAAAATATAATGCTCAAAATGCAATAACTGAAAACAAAATAATTTAAAACCAAATAACTTAAAAAAACTAAATAACTAAAAATAGTCTAAGTGAATTGTAAAAATAACCCAGTATCTAAAATAAATGAAAATAAATAACTATAAGTAACTCTAACCCGAACTTAGGGGAAAACTCAAAATAACTACAGATATTTTACTCTGAAAATAAATAACTCTAAAGCTCCAGTGAGTTTTTTTGGTATTCAAATAAGTAACTGTAAAAATAAATAATTCAAGAATGCCAATAATTAAAAACAGAATAACCATGAAAATAAATAACTCAGATATTAATGATTGTAAAGATACATAATTCAAAATAAATAATTCTAAAGCTAACTAATTTGGAAAATATAACTCTTAAAACAAAGTGACTATAAATAAGTAACTGAAAATAAATAACTCAAAAACGAAGTAACCTTAAAGACAAAATAATAAACAGGTAGCTTTAAAGCTTTAAAGTTTAAATAACTAGAAAACTGAAAATAAATCAAAGTTAACTAATAAAATAAATAATAAATAGCTGAAATAACGGAAACTAACTTAAAACCCTATAAATCTAAACGTAAATACCTCAGAAGTTAACTTGTAACCAACCCTCACTAAAAGGAAACAATCCTGGAACAAAGTAACACAGGCACCACATTGGCATTCTTGCGGGAATTCGGGGGAGGAGGAGAGGTGTGCCCCGTGGAGTCTGAGCGGCCCGCACCAGAGCTTCTCATTCCAGCTCATTGCCACCCCAAGAGAAATCTGGCAATCTCTGAAGGTATTTTTGATTGTCATAATTCAGGAGGGGGGTAGGGCGTTACTGGCGTCTAGAGGGTAGAGGCCAGAGACGCTCCTAAACATCCTACAGTGCGCAAGACAGCCCCGCCCCCACAACAAAGAATTATCCAGCCCCCAAAGTCAAAAGTGCCAACACCGAGAAACCCTGCACCGAACACTCCAAGATTGGGCTCCGCTGACCTCCGCAGGCGCGTGTCCAGCAGCTCGAGGCTCTCCGTGGGACTTGAGCCGAGTCCCTGCGCAAGCGCCTGCCGAGCTACCCGAGTGTCTCTGCGGGGTCTGCACCCGAGTTCCTGCGCCTGCGCAGGCGCGTGTGAAGCTGCGCAAAGTTCTCTGCCGGGCGATGCTGGGGTGGGGATGGGCTCCGCGGGCGGACTGCTCCTCAGGTTCTGGGAAGACCGCCCTGTTGTCACCCGCCCCGGCGGCGGAGCCGCAGGCTCTAAGGCCCTTTGCTGCTTCTGCTTAAGGGCGGGCCGGTCTCGGAGCCCACAGCAGCATCTCCCCGGAATGAAGGCGACCGGGGAGGGTCGGTTTTCCGGGATGAGGGTCAGTTCTCCGGGATGAGGGTCAGTTCTCCGGGATGAGGGTCAGTTCTCCAGCGAGGGCGACCTCAGGCACTCTTTCTACAGCCGCATTGCCTCTGCCCACAAACTAGTCTCCCCCGCAGGGGCGAGCAAGCCAGTGGACACCCCAAGGCTCTCCTCAGTTTAGTTTGTGGCCCTGCAATTCCAAGAAGAAAGTCAGAGAAGCAACGGCTAACAAATTCGCTTACTTTCCTCCGCTTTCACACTCACGTGTCCTTCTCATGGCCTCCCCCTTTTTCTCCCTGGATGCTTTCTCCCGTTTCCTGAACAGACTTGAAGGTACAGGTTTCATAATTGTCGTCCAACTGGAAAAGCCCCGAGAGCTGGAAGGGAAGGGACAGTGGTGCAGTGCTTGGGTACCAGGCCAGGCCAATATGGCCATTCCTGCTGGCACAGCGGGGCCACCCCTGATTTCCCACGGGGCCACTTGGGTCCGCAGCAAGAGCCCGTAACTCTGGCCAGAAACCAGCGCGTCGCTAGGGAGCCAGCGATGCAGGGCATGCTGGGCTGGGGTTGGGTGGGGGTCTGAACCACTTTGCATAGATCCAGAGACCTCAGCTTCCTGGATTAGGGCGGGTCCTTATGCGTGAGAATCATGAAAAGGAGGGAGAAAGGGAAGGAGCAGGGGAAGAAGGGGCAGGCGAAGCTGATGCACAGGAATGAGGAATATGAAAGAGGTAAGAAGGAAATAAATTACACTCAGAGCACTGCTCTCCTTTTCCATATCTTCTGCACCTTCACAATCGTCAAAGGTTTCCATGGAGATAAACTCCCTGCTGGAGCAGCCTTGGGAAAAGAAAGGGAAGAATTTGGCCTGCTGTTTGGGGGGTGGGGGTGGGAGGACGTCCCCTGAAGTTAACGGCAAGATGTAGTGGGCAGCACCCATCCCCAGGAACCCATTCTTCTCATCTCTAACTCCTACTCTCCCAGGACCCTACTGCTCTGTCTGGGCCCAGAGGCTCAGAGGTCTGTTATCTGCAGATTCCCTTTTCCAGCTCAACATTCTGTAACTGTGACTGAGAAGACACGGTGTTCATAGCCCCGCTCCTCGTCCTCCAGGAAAATGGTCATAGTCTTTTTGTGCTTGACGACCTTCCTGCTGTTCTTCCTTCCTGCTCACCCTCCTCTCTTCCTGGCCTCTTTTCCTTTCTCCCGAGTATTGCCCATTTCCTATCTCCTTGGCAGCCTTTGCCAAATGCCACTACTCTCTGCATGGGAAAATCAGAAGGACAGTAAGTACATGCTGCTTCTCTCTCTCTCCATTAAATTGATAAATTAACCAATCAGCCACACCATCGTGCCCCTGTCCTGTGCCAGGGACTGTTAAGGACACCCTGGGGAACAGCACCCCCCCCCAATGGTCCTGCTCAGTACCTGCTGGGATGTCAGGCGTTTGTCAAAAATTAAGCCTCACACAACTCTATGGGCCACAGCCCCAATTTACAGATGAGAAACAGATGAGAGAGGAATAATCATTTGGCCAAGTTCCCCTGGCCTGTAAGCACTGCAGCTGGAATCTACACTTTTCTACTCTTTACCCTACACTCTAAAGATGTGATCTCTGTGCCCACACTTCTCCCAAGTCAAGTTAAGGAGGCGAGGGTCTGCAGAAAGATCTCAACCTGAAGGAGCCCCAGGCTAAGCATCCACTGAGTTTAATCAATCCCACAGGAATCTGAGAGCAGGAGAGAGTTTCTGTTCTGGTCAGAATTCAGGGGGAGGGATTTTGGTCCAGGCCTTGGGCTGGGCATGGGGAGGAGGGCTTTCTGGTCAGAGGATTGGAAGGAGAGGGACTGGAAGGAGGCTACAGGTAGGGTGGGGCAGGACACAGTCATCTCCGGGACCAGAAAGCCAGAAAAATGGAAAAAAAATGGAAGTTCCTCAACCTGCTGCCCAGAGCACCTCCCCCCAAGCTGCATTCCGGGGACCAGAGTCCTCCCCAGAGCAGGGCAACTGGGGGTTGTGCGAGCAACATGGGGAGCAGCCAACACGGGGAGCAGCCGGGCAGTTCCTTCCTGGCGGCCTCCAGAAACCCTGCCCGGATGCTGGCAAAGCCTGGTTTCATTCCTCGTCCTGGAACGTGGTGGGGTGAGGCAGGGAGGGCGGAGGAGAAACTGGTTCAGAGAGGTGCCTCCCCCCACCCTCTTCCAGATGTGACTCAAGGACATCCGCAGTAACCCCAAGAAATGCCTCTTTAGGGCGGTCATCCAACCTGGGTCCCCTTAGACCAGGAGCAGAGAATGAGGAAGGAGGGATGGAGATCTCGCTGGAAGGCTTTTTAAGAGGAACAGAGCAGCTGTGCCCTTTACCACCCCCTGCATGAACTGAAGGGCTGCGTCTCCAGGGGCCATGGCCTTGGTGCCCCAGACAATGTCGGGTGCCTAGAGGGGAAGCCGCTGGGAGGCCCTGGGTGGGGCCGGGCCCTGAGGCTCCATCCGTCAGAGAAGACCCGCAGCCTGATGTGGGTGGGGCCAGGGGACAATGCAGGAACTGAAAGACCTGAGGACAATTTCCAGCCTCTGGGCAGGGTAAGTGGCTCCAGGGGTGAAATGATGACCCAGTGCCGGGGGTGCTGGGGCTGCTTTCCCCTCCCTCCTGCATGCCCTGCAGGTGGGACCGGGGGACGGGGCTTCAGCTAGGCACGGGGCTGGCACAGAGGGGCTCCCACACATCTGGCAGCATTGACTGCATTATTTCAGGGTTATCAGGGTCATTCCCTGCCTCCAGGTAAGGATTTGCCTGAGCTGGAAAGAGGACCAATTCTCTGGGCAATGTCAGGACCCAGATGTCACCTCCCTGCAGTGCACATAGCCTCCTCAGCTCCTGGTCCCACAAGTGAGGGTGGCAGATGCTTGGAGCCCCACAGGTGCCCAGTTTAGTCCAGGACAGGGTTTTCCATACTCCTTAGAGTATAACCAAAGGGAGGTGGAAAATTTACAGCCTAACACAGTGTACAGACGTAAATACAATTATAAAATTAAAACCAAAGTTTACGGATCAATATTACCCTTACAGTGTGTGATGCCCTCATCTGTTCTATTCTATCCTTTCTATTCTACTCTTCTGTTCTGTTCTATTATTTTATTGTATTCTGCTCTATTCTGGGAGACGGAGGAGGAGAGGGGCTGCTGGAGGTGGTGGGGGTCACCCACAATCTCCTCACAGGACCCTTGGAAGCAGAGTTTCTTCTGAGGCAAACTGCATCTGCCCTGAGCGAGCCCTCATGTGTCTCCCCCGTGGGCCCCGGGCTCTTGGCAGCAGAGACAATACCCTGTTCACCAAATATCCCGCGTGGCTTCTGGGAGAAACCCAGAATTCTTAGAACCTGTAAGCCTTGGAGAACGTCCCTCAGTCAAAACCCCTGGTTTTGCAGGGGAGGGAAGTACAGCTCTTTGGGGGACAATTTTGCTGTATCTTTGTCATTTCCATATTTAATCCCTTCCTCCTGGACTCAGTGGCCATGGCTCTGTGATATCAAGAGTCATAGGTACTAAGTCCTAGGTCTTAAGGAGGTGGAAGCACTGAGGGGACCCCAGGATCTCAGGCTCCAGGTCTGGCAGGTCACAGGCACCCAACTGAATGAATGAGAGGTCCATGTCCCACTGTTAGGAGCAGGGGCTTTGGAGTCAGTCAGACCTGAGTGCAGTTTTCACTTTGCCACTCACCTACTGGCTGCGTGAGCTTGAGAAAGCCACTTAATATCTCTGAGCATCAGTTTCATTGTTTCTAAAATGGGGATAATAATGCTTATTTTGCAATGTTGATATAAGGATTAGCAAAAATACTTATACAGTGAAATGTCTGATACAGCATAGAAATTTAATAAGTAACACCTCTTATGATTATTGTTAATAGTAATTACGATAACTCTAAAGAGAAGATCTCAGAACAGTACTGGGTACTGCAAGTGTGCTATTATTACTCACATTTGGGGGAGATTTGTCTGCCATTGTCTTCATCCTCATGAACATCTGGGGGAAGAAACATAAAAATAAAAAACGGCTTTAAAATGAAGCAGAGTGAGCGAGCACATGCACACACACACACACACACACACACACACACACATGAACACACACACACACCCCAGACAAACCAAACACATAAGCCTTTGACAAGTATTCAGTTTGGTTATAAAATTTGAAGTGATAGTTGCATCCTTGGAAAGTGAGCAGCATGACCCTGCCAACCAACCCAGGTCCAGCAGTGTATTGGGAAGATATACCCTGAGTCTCTGGGGCACTCCCAGTCCATGTACCAGAATAAGCACAAAGAGTGTTGGTGGAAAAGGACAGGAAGAATAGGAAAAAGTGGGCCATGACAATCCATGCTGATAAAGACTGGTATATTCTTCTTCCCTCAGTGGATGATTTATAGCACACACCACATAAATCCTAAAATATTTAGGAAATTTAGCTTTAGCACCTGGTGTTTAAAATCCTGATCTTTTATTTTGCTTAAAAAAAGTATGTTAACAAGTGAGCCCATTAGTGAATTTAAACTATCCTCTTCAAAAACAAACAGCAAACAAACTATCCCTCTTCAGAATACGTTTCTGATAAATAAGACTTTGAAGATAAAATCATGGCCTTTCCCTTGCTGTCCACTAGGCGGCACACAGGGACAACAGTAGGTCCTGCTCGTTCAGAGGCAGCTCTTACCCCACAGATTTCAAAGAGGGTAAACTATTTCTATTTTCTTTCAGACTAGATTTTCCTCTATTCCTTACAATTATGCAAAACTTTTAAAGAACCGTCTCTATCATATAAACTAAAGTACATCATTTTCACTTGGTAAATGGGGAATGGACAGCTGCCTTAAAGTAATGCCTAAGCCCTGGTCTTTCCTTCCCTTCCCAGGAGAAATAAAGGTGTGTAATGAGTTGCTATTTAATATGCTAACAGCAGCATAGGCACTAGCTTAAGAACTTCATCTCATTTAATTCTCACAGTCAGACTGTTACAGTATTACCTCCATTTTGTAAAATAATTGATGAAAAGAATTTAAGCACAAAGAAGTAGTTCATCCACAGAGATGGAACTGGAGTGTCTATAATCTCTCAGTGCTTGGGCCCTTAGCTGTGTGCTATGTTGCTAACTGAGCTCTTTCTCTGTCTTCTAGGAGTTTACCAGTAGGGTCACATTCTACCTGATTCATCCCAGGAGCTGTCCAAAGTTCACAACAGGCAAATCTGGAGATGCTTCCATGGGTACTAGGCTAGATTAGGATCTTGTACTTGGTGGCCCAGAGTATAAACTAGGACATCTAGGCTGGTCTATATCTGAAGTGTCCATTTCCTTGGCATACCTGTCTTTGGTCAAGAGGAAGAAAATTCAATGTGCTTTCAGATTCCACATATTCTCACAGAGCATTTTTTTTCTATTGTCAAAGTCCCTGCCAATTTCTAGAGCAGTCTGAGCTTACTGCTTTAGACTTTCAGGGCTGAGAGGAGCTGGGGTCAAAGAAATTTTACAAGTGGGAAACCATCACCTAGCTCAGCAACCAGCTGCCCTCTGATGTATCTAGTTGGGTTTAGCCAAAGCCTTGCCCATTTCATCAGAGATTTATTAAGAATTTTTCAATAAGATTAAAATATAAACCCCCACCATGGTAAAGAAAACATTTGCCACACTTGAGAACTCGTTGATGCTGATCATCATGAGGCGGTCCGGCTGCTACCTAACAGTGTGCTTTAAATTGGTGATTAATCCCAGCCTGTCACTTTCTTCAGTGCATCAGTGGTGCTTGGGAATACCTTCTCAGTTCCACGTTCCTGATAGTTAATATCTTCCCTAAACCTCTCAAATGCTAGAGACATTGCACCAGCTGGTACATCCCTGTCTGCCTGTATCTGATCCCAGGTCACCACCAAGGAAGGTCTTAGCAATTGAATGACCACACAGGCCAGGGACCAGGAGTCCCAACCTTCCACCTACTACCAGCAACGGTGTCCTTGTTGCCATTTGGCCAGCAAGTGACCCAACACCAGAATCCCATCCTTTCTGGGACCTCTGCTGGTACTAACTGTCTTAGGTCTGGTTTCCCAGAAGCTGATTTGTGCAACTGAGTTAAGGAGAAACTGTGCAAGCGAGTTCAGTTGAAATGTGTAAGGCAATGAGGGCAGAAGATGGATCAAGGAAGAAGCCAGGCCCAGACGAGGGTTCAGCCAAAGTCTAGCATCAACCTGATCCCCTGAGAAATGCTGGAGTCTTGATGGCACCACAAGTATCTCATCTTGAGGCAGAAGGGCTGGTTTTTGTACCCTAAATCGGTCAGCCGTTGGCTGGCTGTAAGCTGCCCTTGAGGGAGGCCATAACCTTTCAGGCATTGCCAGGCCGGATGGCTCTGGTCAGCTGAGGGTAATTCAGAAGATTATAACTGAAAGGCAGGTGCACCTGACTAACAAAAAGGTCTCAACAGCCTCAACTACTGTGTGTGGGTTTTTTGAAATCAAAAAAGTTAATAGATTTTATTTTTAGAGAAGTTTTATGTTTACAGAAAAACTGAGCAGAAAGTGCAGAGAGTTTCCATTAGATCCTTCATCACTCTCCCCCCACAGTTTCTCTTATTAACATTATGGTACATTTGTAACAATTGATAAACAAATATGGATATGCTATTATTAACTAAAGTCCATAGCTTACATGAGGGTTCACTCTTTGTATTGTACAGTTCTATGGGTTTTGATAGATGCATAATGTCATGTATCCACCAGTATAATATTGTACAGAACAATTTCACTACCTAAAAATCTTCTGTGCTCCACCCATGCATTTCCCACCTCCTACCCTGAACCCCTAGTAACTACTGATTTTTTTACTGTCTCTCTAGTTTTCTCTTTTCCAGAGTGTCATATAGTTGGAATCATACAGTGTGAAACCTTTTCAGACTGGCTTCTTTCACTTAGCAATATGCATTTAAATTTCCTCCATATCTTTTCATGGTTTGATAGCTTATTTCTTTTTGTTGCTGAATAATAGCCCACTGTATGGATGTACTATAGTTTGCAAGTCATCTGTTAAGGGAGAAGCTGAGCTATGACTTGATCAAGGGACAGTACTGAGGGATAAAGCCAGTTATTTAGAAGTTGGAAAATCTGGTTTTATCTTTTCTTTTTTAACAAGCCAACACAAAATCTCCACAGGAAAACAAAACAAAAAAATTTCTTACCTCCCAGAGATTCTGTTACATAGAAGGATAAGCTTTATCACGCAAAGAAAATTTAAGGACTATATTCTATGAACTCTCACCAGTCACAATTTTTCTCAAGCCTTATTTTTCCTGGTCTGTATTAAGAAGAAAATGGGTCATATTTCATTTTTCAAATACAAAATTTTATAACACACATTTACACCCTAACTGAAAATAACTGCCTTATTAAATAGCATTATCATTAATAGTTGCTGACTAAGACTGAAAATTCAATTTCTTAATTACATGGCTGTCTTGCTGTTAATTAGCCATCTCATGCTCATTAGCATCCAAGGCTCTAGAAGTCTGAAGGAGAAACACACACCAGTTAGCCTTGCGCTGGAGTAGGGGTCTGTCTGTGTATGTTTCCTTAATGACTTTTTGTACTTTATATGTGCTAAATAAGTGTATTTTGAAGTAAAACTCTTTTCAGAGGCCCTTTCCAAATAAAGTATATGCCTGAAGACAGACTTTATGTCCCACCAAACCAATCACATGATAATCTAAAACCAAAAATCTCAAATGCTAAGTTCCAGAGACTTCAACTATGGGCAGTGAGTGATAAAAGCTTAAAGTAGGTCTTTGGAAATGATTATCTTTAGTTTAAATAGTCAAGGAAAGAAAAGATGACAACAGAAAGAGCACATTCAAGCCCCATAAACAAATAATCTATCATGTCATTAAAATACAAAATATAAAAATTTGTTACCTTTTTGATCCCATGCCTAATTCTGCCTTCCAGAAAATGGACACACAAGGAAATTAGTGCTGAGTCTTATGGAGAAGCCCCTGATCACGTGCTACTAATCTTTCCAAGGAGAGCTTTGGGAGGAGGTGAAATCCCTAACTCCTGGATAGATCAAGAAACACAGTGCCACCATCCAGTGCCTTTAGTCCAAAGCGGAGACATTCTGGCAATGCTCTGATTCCTACAACCATTTCCTTAAGAGGACAAAGTTACTTCTCAGTGTGAAATATTTGCCCTTCATTTTCATTCTGGTCTAGTTGGATCCACCCAAGTAAATAGCAGGAAATCGATTTTATACCTTTCTTCTCACTCACATAATTAAGGAAGGGCTGAGACTTGGGCAATGTCTTCCTCAGCTTCTTAGCAGAGCTGGTATCACCCCCCTGCTTTCATACCTCACTCTCGCATTGGATCCTACCTTGAATCCTACATGGCTGGGGACTGGGTCTTTGCTCCTGGTAGCTCTTTTCATATTTTCAGTCCAGGGTACAAATTCCACTTCATTGTCTTTGCTTTAGAGAAATACACATGAACGTTGAACCACTGGAAAGGATGGCACATATGTGCCTTCCTCCCTATACTAGTTGGAATGGCACTGGCTCACACCAGATTATCCCCAGCTAAAGCCTCGTGGGCCTGTTTCATCCTCCTCCTCCACCTGTGGCCTAAGATGTGCCCCAGGTCTCTGGATGACATTCAGCAAAAGAATATTCAAGGGATACCACCTGCTGGGTTATACAGTTAATACCTAACTGGCTGCGAATCTTAAAGTGAGAGAGGTGAAGAGATGGAATCCCCTTCACTGTCTCCAAAGCTATTTCATTGGCTCACAATAGCTCCCTCCTGCCCTCTTCCCCGTCCTGAAGTACCAGCTATTATAGTAACTCCTTTGGGTTAGATGAGATCCACAAATAGGCACTTACTAGGCACTGGAGGTCTGAGATGAATAAGATGCACCCTGAGCTAAACCTCCTCACCTCCTAGCTCCGCTTGCAGAGTGGTTTGCTAGTCTGATGGGATCAGGCAATGAGT